TTTATGCCCCTGAGTTATCTCCCCAGCCCTTTTTCTTTCATTATTAAAGAATACATTTCCATGCTAAATTACTAAAAGTAAGAAGTTAAATTAGTGGCTTAATATATCTATTCAGGTTTATTAAACTTACCACAGCATTTTCCAAAATGAGTCCTCCATGTGGCTGTGCAGTGTATTTTCCTAACAAATTTGTTAAAGGAACATTGTTTTTCTTCCAGTTAATGGCTGGTGTGGGGATTCCTTCAGCCACACATGGGAGAACAGCTTGTGAGTTCTCGTTGACCGTATAGTGAGCTTCGGAGCTATGGATCCGGGGTGGTACTGCCAAGAGTTTAAAGAGAATAGTTAGCCTTCTAGGAAGTTGAGTTTAACGATGTTGTTATTTACATTGAAAATCAATGCAGGAAAGACCCCTTTATGGGTAATTTGGCTAGAAATAAAAAAAATATATTTTTTTCTGTATTTTAGGGAAGGGCCTACAGGGTGTTCAGGGTCTCACTACTAGAAAAGACTCGTAGTGATCTGCCTGTCTACAGCCTCCCAAGAGCTGGGATTACAATCACCCGCCACCACATCCAGTCTCAATTACCATCTCAGTGCACCCAGGTGGCGGGACTGGTACAGCAGGCACCGGGATCCAACCCCAGGCCCCTGCGCCTGCTTGCAGGTGCTTTAATATGCAGAGCTATTTGGCTGGCCCTACAAAAAAATATTACATTGGTTTATTTGCTATAAAATTAATTAGTATTTTCAATGCTATAAAGAATTCAAATGTGTTTGAGTTTATTGGATATACTTATATTCAGGTCCTGAACAAATGACTTAGAGGAGGGCTAGAAATGTTTAGATTTTATTTAGCTTGCTGACCTTCTTACACTTGATAAGACAACCAACCAAGTAATCAACAAAACCAAAGCCATTTATATGGATATACAACTGCTGGGCTTGTCTTACATATATTGAGAGAATGAACTCATGGTAGTTACTATAAAACACTGCAAAACATTCACCTAATATGTAATGCCACAGATTGCTAGATTATTATTCAAACATACTAGTGAGAAATGGACCAGTCTTACAATGTTTGTAAAGTGACAAGGCAAAAGCTGGTATCAGTAAGAACAAAGTTTTTGTATAAACTTTAGTGTTTCCTCCTTAGTTATTCTAAGACTATATGGCTAAATATATAAATGTTAGGTGAATGAGTACACATGAACACTATAGATAATTTGGAAAAGATTAAAATATCTTTTGCTCAACATTGCATTATAAATAATTCATTTATTATTAGTTCATGTTTTATTTTCAGTGTCTCCTGTTTCTTAGTTTTCTTGAGGTTGTTATTTCCCTTTTTCTAGGGATTACAGAGATAAAACATAAATACATTCATTTTTGTTATTTCTTTTCCAAATGAAACAGAAACAAGGCTATGACTTTATAGTGGATTTTAGTTTTGATCACACACTACATTTTTATATGTAGTGCCCTTTTATCATTTTATAATTAATCCAATAATAAAAACATCTCAGCCTTTGTTAGCTGGAAGAGTACTTTTTTTTAAAGTTGCTTGGAATTGGTGTTTTGGCAATAAAATCTATTACAAATTTCTAGTTTTATAGCACTGTGGGCAAGAATCTGCACTGTACTTTTAAGAATTATTAATAGTGGGGTCGGGGAGATGGCTCAGTGGAATAAGCGCTTCCCTGGCAAGCGCAAGGGTCTGAGTTCAATTCCCGGTTCCGCAAAAAAAAAAAAAAAAAAAAAAAAAAAAAAAAGAATTATTAATAGTTTCTTTGTTACTTAGTACATGGTCAACTGTATAAATTTTCTATAAAT